GACATGACAATGAGAGGAGGTTAACTCAAACGGTATCTAAGTGTGGCTTTTGTTATGAGACCCTAAAGAACATTCTAGTGCTATTTGGGTTTATAAAAATAACCAAATGAAAGCTACTGGTAAAAATAGAGCTTTCATTGTTCTTGATTCAGGGACGAGAAAGAGCTAATCAAGGAATAGCAAGACCAATAACTTAGACAGTGACCTTGGGCAAGTCACTGCCACATCCCTCACCTCTGTTTTCTCCCCACTAAAATACTTGTCCTATTTATCTTCAGAGTGGTGCAAATCAAGTAAAATTCTGCCTTGGCAAGTATACTTAACCATGAATTGTCCTGGACATGGAAAGTTTCTCGTGCAGATGTTCCGTATTTCAGTGAACTTAGAAGTGGTGATATTTCCACTCACCTAACCTTGCAGTGGGCCCATAGAATGAGCTGTGAGATAACACAAAAGTAGGAGACACGATCTTCCCCATCAAGGGGGTTTTATGTGGACAGCAAAGACCAACAACATGTGCTCCACTGAGTCAGCCACAGGAAAATGAGAAGTAGAAGTTGAGAAAAGGATGAGAGGCGAACGTGGTTATATGGAAGAAGTGATCTTAAACAGGGCCCTGGAGGGTATGGTTTGGGTAGCCCAGGGGAGGGGAGAGAATCTGCCAGTCAGGCGAGGCAACATGCAGAGCAGAGAGAAGGGGTGGGGAAGAGTTACAGAAAGGCGCAGCTACCACCAATGGCACTCCAGATATTGTGCCAGGAAATGTGCACCTGTTGTGTCACTTAAAGGTCTCAGTGACCTTGAGAGTGGTTACTAATATCTTCCCTATATTAAAGGTCTCAATGACCTTGAGAGTGGTTACTAATATCTTCCCTATATTAAAGGTCTCGGTGACCTTGAGAGTGGTTACTAATATCTTCCCTATATTAAAGGTCTCAGTGACTTTGGGAGTGGTTACTAATATCTTCCCTTTACAGGGTAAGGAATTCACTCAAGCTTGCACACTAAGCAAGCTACAGAGCTTGGCTCCACATCTAGGTGTTCTGACCCCCCAGCACAATCTCTTTTCATCATACAAGGCTGCTTCATCTTAAATGTGATGGGAATATTAAGGAAACCTGAGAAAAGGTCGGCCTCCCAGAGGATTGCCTAAAAACAGAAATTCCAGATTTGGTCTGCTTTGTTCATTTCAGCAGTTAATTCTCGGCCACTTTATGTTGCCAAACTATTTCCAGGGTGTCTGTCCTGATTTCCCCAATTCATCCATTTAATCACCATATATTCACTGACACTACAATGTGTCAGACGCTATTCTGGGGGCTTAGGGTACAGCAGTGCACAAAACAGAAAAAGATCTCTGCTCTCCTGGAGCCCACTTTCTTACTGGATTGTAATCAAAAGATTTTAAAAACCTTTGCTCCAGGAGCTGAATCCCCACAGCACTTGGCCCCACAGAATGCTGGCCCCAGAGCAGATACATAATGGAATCAGTGATGAAAAAACAACCTTAAGACCTACGAATCTGTGATCAATTGACCTTGAATAGTGTGTTTTCTCAATTTTCCCATTGGAAAGTATATTTTGCAAGATAATTCAGGTTTCCTATTTGGATATATGCGTGGAAACACATTACCTTACCTCGCTGGACTCTAAGCTCCAGATCAGAGATGGCAAATGCATAGTACAAACAGTGCCCCTTCCCCAACCCACAACCATGCAGACATTGCTTATTGATCCCAACACTCTGTCCAGATGAGGTTGAAAGTAGCAAGCCCGTCATGACCAATCCACCTCATTGCCATCCCAGACATTCCATGAAGTTGAAGCCAGTGGAGAAGATTGGCCTAGCTAGGCATTTTGCAAGGCTCTGATGATGGGAATTGATGTTCTTTTTTATGTTTGCACAGGCAAAAAGATGTGATAAGAAGTCTCTTCTAACAATTAGGACCCAGTGCAAATCCTGCACGTACAACTTTCAAGTCAAGTGCCCGGATGGTTACACCAAGATTACCAATGGCTCTATAGGGGTTCGAGATTGCAGGTACTCGTGAGAAAATAAGTGTGCCCCAGTCTTAAAACTCAAGGAACTGTGAATCTAAATTGAAACTCCCTGTCTTAAAAACTGAAAAGCATTTCCATGACTTTCCTCTTGTTCTATAACACCAATCAGGCCAAACTTAGGTAACTCAACAATTATGAACTTGATTCTAAAAGCAAATAATCTTATTGACGCATATTTTAATACAAAATTGACTACCTTGCCTTGTACATAAACATTCTCCCTTTATCTTGTCCATCTTTCTTTGAAAATCTGAGTTTTGTTTCATTTGAAAGAGGTTCTAGTCTTGAAAGTGTTAAGTCTTAGGTGCTGGTAGTCATCTCACTATGACCAGGTATGGATCCTAACTGTAATTAGAACCCAAAGAAGGAGGACAAATGAATTATGGTGTGATTGAATTTTATGTAACTTCTTATTCTTAAAGACCTCCTAGGATTCAAAACTCACAAGTGCACATTCAAGGCTAATCCTGGCAAAGGATGACAAACAATTCTGCTCATCAGCTAACGGAAGCAGCCATAAGTTCAACTGCAAATACAATTTGGTATTTATTCAGCCTACTAATTTAGAAATTAGCACTCAATGAGTTTGTTTTTAATTCAGGGCTGAAGGATTACTATCATTTTTTATTTTGAAATGAAATGAAACCTTAACATTGTTCTATCACAATATTTTAAATTCACATTTGCTTAATGCAAGCATACTATATTCTAAAACCAGGCTCATCATTTTTAGTAAAAGTTCCCCAGCATTAACTGGCCTAAAATTAGTAAACATGCAGCAATGACCAAGCTAGGCACATATTTGTGATGCATTTCAATTTGTGTTAGAATCATATCAAAATGATTTAGGATTCAAAGTTAAAATTACATGTCTACTTTACTGAGAACGTTTTTGTACTGGCTACTTTTTTCTTCAAGGCCAAGGTAGGCACTTGGTTATGTCCCAACCACAGCCAACACACACCCACAAACACAGAGGTTAAAATTTTTGCACCAATGTTCTCCTTTTAGAACTGAAGACTGATCTGTTATATATCTATGCTAGGACAAACTCAAGGTTAGCTCTTTGGTTTTTGTTTTGTTTATGTTGTGATTTTTTTTAACCACTCTATTGAGGTTTGATTGACCTGCAAAAAGCTGTATATATTTTATGTATACAACTTGATGAGTTTGGAGATAAGTATATACCCATGATCATCGCCAGCGCCATAAACGTCTCATCACACATCATTTCTCTCACATCTCATCACCTCCAAAAATTTCCTCCTTCTCTCTTTTTGTGTGTGATAAGACCACTGAGCCAGGTACAATGGTTCATGCTTATAATTCCAACACCTTGGAAGGCTGAAGTGGGAGGATAGTTTGTGGCCAGGAGTTTAAGACCAGCCTGGGCAACTTGGCAAGACCTTATATCTACAAAAAAATTATCATTACTTAAAAATTAGGCAAGCATGGTGATGCATGCCTGTAGTCCCAGCTACTCAGGAGTCTGAGGTAGAAAGATTGCTTGAGCCAGGAGTGCAGGGCTGCAGTGAGCTATGATGATGCCACTGCAAGACCCTATTTCTTTAAAAAAAAAAAAAAAAAGTATTTTTTAAAGAAACAACACCTAACATAAGATCCAGCCTCCTAATTTTTTAAGTGTATATTACATTATTATTTATTACAGCATGCACTATGCTATGTCATAAATCTCTAAGGTTTTTTAACCATATATTTTTAAGCATGTATTACATTATTAGTGCATGCCCTATGCTATTTCGTAAATCTCCAACATATTTTCATTTTACATAAACAAAACTTTGTACCCTTTGACCAATACTTTCCCACTTCCCACCCTTCCAACCACTGGCAATCACCATTTCACTCTCTGCTGCAACGAGTTTGACTATTTAAATTCCTTATAGAAACGGAACCATGTCCTTCTGTGTCTAGCTTATTTCTCTGAGCAGAAAAGCCTCCAGGTTCATCAGAGTTGTCACAAGCTGCAAGATTTCCTTCTCCGCAAAGGTGGCGTCACACTGCAGTGTATGTGCACACCCCATGTCCCTTAGCCATTCACCCTTCCATGGAGGTTTCCAGGTCTTGGCTATTGTGAACAATTCTGCAACGAATGTGGGAGCACAGATATCTCTTTGAGATTCTGATTGCAATATTCTCGGACACCTCTCCAGAAGTAGTTTTATTTCTAATTATTGGAAGACACTCCATATCATTTGCCACAGTGACTACACCAATTTACACTCCCATCAACGGTGCCTAGGGGCTTCCCTTTCTCTGCCTCCTCGCCACATGCTCTTGTGTTTATTTGCTTTATGACAGTCATCCTAATAAGCGTGAGGTGATAGCCCATTGTGGCTTTGATTGGCCTCTTGCTGATGATTAGTGATATTGAGCACCTTTTGGTACTCCTGTTGGCCACGTGTTTGTCTTCGAAAATTAGTTCTTAAAAGGATGCTTGGCTCTGCCCTTGGGTTCTCCCTCAGCCTGCTTTTGTGAAGAGATGTCAATGCCAGTATTCTCAAAAAAAAAAAAGTAAGAAAAAACTCAGTTCCATTCCCACTTGGTCCATAAAGCCCGTGGCTCTGCTACACACATCTCAGGGACTACTTTGAGAGGACAACCTCAAACTCACCAGCACGCTATTCTTAACAGCCCAGCTGAAAATAACAATATTCACAGAGAATTATCTCTAGACCCTGAAGTCTAAGCCTGGAATAAGCCATGCCTACAGAGATCCCTGTAAATAGATAATGGTGTTGGGCAGTGCCTGTGGCTCAAAGGAGTAGGGCGCTGGCCCCATATGCTGGAGGTGGCGGGTTCAAACCCAGCCCCAGACAAAAACTGCAAAAAAAAAAAAAAAAAAAAAAAGATGATGATGTTTAGCCTCCATAGATTGCTATTCCAGAACTGTTCCTCAGCTGGTCCTAGAAACTGTTCTGTGGAAGTCATCATTATGTCTCCTAGGATATTGTGGTGAATACTGCTTGCTACATTACACGGCCTCTGCCACAGAAATTTCTCTTTCTATGGTATCTGCAGTAAATATGTTAATCCTGAATAACAAGATTGCTTTAAGTCCAAGATCCTTGCACCATGTAACTCGTGAACTTTCCCTTCTTGCATTGGCCACTAGGACACTCACTTGCTGGCAAGTTTAAGGCCTAACCATAGAGTGGCCTCAGGACTAGTATCATTCATTTCATCTACTAACTCACTTCTGTTATCACTCTGGATCCTTCCTCCCTATTTTCATCGTTCTCTGATTTTTTCCATTCATTTCTTACGATTAAATATAATTCATAATTAAGTTTTATTCTACCTAGAAAGCCAAATATGTTCCATCTATGTTTTTTAATGACAGGTAAGTATAAAGACCTAAATGAAAGTCTGGGATAATCCACCACCTAGAGTTAACAGCATTGCTCTATCGTGTGTTAATATCCTCTCTTTACCATCCAAGGTACAGCTTTGAGCTGAGGACATACTCCCTGTCTCTCCCTGGATGCCGCCATATTTGCAGGAAGGATTATCTCCAGCCTCAATGTTGCCCAGGCCACTGGGGTCCAGACTGCATGGGTAAGTGGCACAATGCTTGGACTTTGACATTTGCTTCTCGATGTCCCATTTTACAGAAAGCTGAGATAATCTGCTTTACTGAAGTTAGAGTTCTCTCCTTAAGAGAATTCCTTTATAAGTCAGAAAAAGGGACAGTTAAAAGAATATTCATTTTTATTTAAAAACAAAAGGCAACTTGCCACATGGAGGAAGTAAAAGGCTGGCCTCTTATAACCCCAAATACAATTTTATTTAAGAAAAATTTTTAGTACACTGTCTCAAAGACTGTAGTATTTGACAACCAAAATAATTATTAAAAATTCTAAAATTGTAAGTAGGATAGGATATCACAACCTATTATGGTGAATTTAAGAAGACACATCAGTGTAAAGAAACTGTAAAGTTAACTGTGTAAAGTTATATGGAAATATATATATGCCTAATTAATTCTGACCAGTATTTACTACAAGAAAAATAAGTAACAAAGTCTTAATCAATGGTATAGTTAGACTTCTGTTATCAAGCATACTACTTGATATCTGCAATTGAACTATTAACCTGATTCTAGATGTTAACACTCAAATAATGACTAAGTTCTTGCTACCTAATGGAAATTATGCAAAATTTCTTTTTTTATAGTCAAAAATCAGGCATTTAATTCATGAATTTACCATTTGTTCTCCATCTTTTTTTTTTTTTTTTTTTTTTTGAGACATAATCTCACTTATGTCGCCCTCAATAGACATGAGCAACAGTATTCACAGCAACCTCAAACTCTTGGGCTTAAGCAATTCTCTTGCCACAGCCTCCCAAGTAGCTGGGACTACAGGCGCCTCCCACAACAGCTGGCTGTTTTTATTGCATTTGTCATTGTTTAGCTGGCCTGGGCCAGGTTTGAACCTGCCAGCTTTAGCGTATGTGGCTGGCACCATAACCACTGTGCTACGGGCGCAGAGCCTCTTCATCTTTTAAGATGTAATGAATCTTGAGATTCACATAAGGAGAGTTATCAATTCCCTTTTGTTTTGTTTTGTTTTGTTTTCTTATTAAAGCAATCTAGGCAAATTCTGCACAGCCTGTAAAGTTTAGAAGAGTAGAAAGAAAGAAAAAGTATCAACTTACATTATGCCACACAAAGAAAACCTTAAATATTTTGGCATATTAAAATTTGGGTGTTTTTTTCCATATAGTTTCTAAATAGCTGAGCCCATACTGTACGAGTAACATCTCCTGTTTGTTTGTTTAACTACTGACTAAATGACTAACAGTCTTCATTTACTCAACATTGCTGACATTAGGGACCAGAGAGGTACACAGCCTGTATTATCTGAGTTAGTCATTTTGGTGCTGGGGGTGGTTAATATGAGGTTACATGTGATTAGGTTACATTATTTGCATTGAAAGTAAAATCCAAGGTCTGAATTGTAGTTGAGTCCTTCACGCAGAATGTGTGCCCCATACCCCTACATTGTACCCAGTAGGTGGGAACTCACTGAGCCCCCTCCAGGACTCCCCATTCTTGAATTTCATTATATTTTTCTCTCACATGGGCCTATAGTTGTTAATCTACTATTTTCAGATGAGTGATGAGGACATTGGATACTTGCTTTTCCATTCTTGAGATACTTTACTTAGGAGAATGTTCTCCAAATCCATCCAGGTAACTACAAAAGATGGAAAGTCGCCATCTTTTTTATGGCTGAACAGTATCCCATGATACATATACCACAGTTTACTCATCCACTCATGTATTGATGGGCACTTGGGTTGTTTCCACATCTTTGCAACAGTGAATTGAGCTGCTATGAACATTCGAGTGAGAATGTCTTTGTGGTAACATGATCTTTTTTTCTTCTGGGTAGATACCTACTAATGGGATTACAGGATCAAATGGAAGGTCTACCTTTAGTTCTCTGAGGATTTCCCATACTTCTTTTCAAAAAGGCCATACTTGTTTACATGAATTAGATAGTTTTATCCCCATTTGTCCTATGAGGAATCAGAGATTTAAAAATTAGCTCTTGCCAGTTCCTTTGTACAGGTGATAAAGTAATAAAGCAAATTCAAGTTCAAGCCTGCCTGTCACCAAAGCCTGCTTTCTTTCTATGCTATCTAACTGCCTGGAGCAAACCTTATTCAGAAGCAGAGCCTCCACACGTATTTCCAATGTTTCTTTTGGTTAGTAGGTCCTTTCAGCCTTCCAGTAAATGCCTGGATTATGCTCCGGGAAAGATCAGGTTTGGGGTTCAAGATATCTGGGCCCTTGTCCATATTAACTGCCCTCTGTTTAGTTTCACCCCAGCATGTTGGCACAGCATACTTCTAAGAATTCAGCAAATCTAAATCAAATACCCAGATACAGGTTCTTTTAAAATGATTGACCTAGATTACCAGATTTCAAGAAATTGTTTTAAGGCCAAATATGGCCATGATCACATCCAGTTCTTACAGACATTCTGGTACAATAGAAAGAGCTTTTAGATTTGCTTTGTTCTTCCTAATTCATAGAAACAAATCTGATGCTGAGTTATTAATCAGGCACACTGTAGACAAGAAAAAGATTTTGTCCAAGAGTTAGTATGAAAGTCAGGATGTCTATACCAGTGAGTAACAGACCACTGCCAGGAGGGCAAAAGAATACCAGGCCTGCAACACAAGGGATTGTTTGCTCGTTTGTTTTTTGAGACAGAGTCTCAAGCTTTCGCTGCCCTAGGTAAAGTGCCGCCCTGGGTAGAGTGCCATGGCATCCTAGCTCACATCAACCTCCAACTCTTGGGCTCAAGCAATTCTCTTGCCTCAGTTTTTCTATGTTTAGTAGAGACGGGGTCTCACTTTTGCTCAGGCTGGTCTCCAACTCATAACCTCAAGCTATCCACCTGCCTCGGCCTCCCAGAGTGTTAAGATTCCAGGCGTGAACCACCACGCCCTGCCTACAACCACAGGTTTTCGTTTGGAACTTAGTTCCGTCACTTCCTGGTTTGGACGAATGACTTTGCACTTAACTCCTCAGACTCTTCATCTGTCAAACAGGGATAAAAAGTCCTACTTTACAACACAGTAGTGGAGATTTTAAGATGTTCCTCTAAGTGAAAGGACTCAGCAAAGCGCATGATGCAGAGAAGGCACTTTATAAACCTGTGATGAATAAATGGATGAGTGGATCACAGCCAAACGAGACCCCTGATAATGAAGGGCAAATAAAATGACGCTCTTCCTCTGAGCCCTTTTTAATGGTGGGTAACTCCTAGAAGGTGGGTAGGCAAAGAGGATCCAAAATCCTTAGCTTGTTTCACACCATCACACTGCTATGTGCAGGCCAAGGTCACAAGATTCACGTGTACTATCAAAACCATCAGAAAGAATTCTCTGAATGTTCAGGTGTTTCTTTCAAAGAGGCCTCAAAGCTAGAGAGACATGTCAACATGGAGACCTGGATATTATTTCTGCTGTCCTGGCACTGGGCAAAAGGTCACTTCCCTTTATCTTCGTCTCCCAAACATACTACATGTCTTGAAAGGCTTCCTTCCTGCGGTTCAGGAAAAAGATAAATACTCTCCTTGGCTGTGTATGTCACCTGTCACGTTTTGTGGTGATGACAAGCAAGACCTTGACTGCCACTTTTACATTTCCGCGAGGATAAGGCCATTGCAGAGCTGCTGACATGTGTCCATCCTTCTTTTTGAGGAAACACACTCCAGAACGGCCTTGTTTCCAAAGCAAAGAGAACATCCACTTCCTTTGTAATGCATTGAAAAAGACATTCCCACCCCTTATTTTGAAAATTATTTTGATAGTACCTTACTCAAATTAGGAAATCGCTCTATAATTAACACTGCAAACTTGGAAAATGCAGGAAAGCACAATTAAAAAAAAAAAACCACCCATCATCTTCTAAAATTAAGACTTAAGGAATGAGTTGTCCCTTGTGGGGAGAGTAGGAGAAATGTCATCCGGACATATGGAAAGTATTTTTACCCAGATTTAACCTGCTTCTCCCCAATTAAAATTTGAACTGTTTTATCAAATGGGCATATGGAGATGTTTTTTTCTCATTAGCACAAAAATGAGAAAATACACACTCAAAACATATTTTTAGCTTCAAAACTTAATCACATTTCTATTTGAGATGAGATAGATTTTTTTTTTTTTTTGGAGTTTTTGGCTGGGGCTGGGTTTGAACCCGTCACCTTTGGCAACGGGGCCAGCACCCTACTCCTTTGAGCCACAGGAGCCGTCCTATTTTTATTTAAACATCCCAACTCTTTTTACTCTGTCATGAACATTAATGGATTTGTGCAACAAGTCAAAGTAACGAAAAACAAACACGTGTGAAGGGGTTGCACTTAAACTCAATGATGGCCAAAGCCATCTGATTATTTCAATAGAAATGGTCTTGATTTTTCCTATTTTTTTTTT